TGTGTGTGTGTGTGTATAGTCTCTTGCTTGGCTTCCAAAGCAGTTAAGAAATGTGTATCTTTATTAACAACGAAAATTTGCTTCTAGAATTATGATGGCATTTATTAATATCCAGCAGAATATGTACAGGACAGTGATATCCTTTTTTAAATTTAAAACTTGCAGTTTCATAAATAGATAATTGTGGTGTTGGCCTAAAGGTTGACGTTTTTTAGTGTTACATTTAGCCCCCTCTGGTGTCTCGCTACTTAACTGCAGGCACTTGGTCTTGGCAAATAAGCATGGTCTTGCAAATCATCATCAGCTATGGGACCAGGATAAGAGAAAGAGTGCTTCCCAACGGAAGAGCAAGACTTGTGCAAGAAAGGCTTGTGGTGGCAAGACCCTAGGGACAGCAAGACCTTGGTGGTGGAGGGACTGTGGCATTACTGTGGAGAAACTATAGTAAAGTACGACCTGAGGCTTCTTGCATTTGTGCTTCTTGCATTTGTGCTGGTCACAGTTAAAGGGTTTTGCCAGTTACTTGAAGGAGCTGACATATAACTGCTCTTAGGCAAACCTTGCTGGTTGATTTGGATTTGACTGTTGAACTGAAACTAAATCCTGGACTAGTTGAGAAATTGTGCCTTAAGACTGTTGGGATAAACTTGGACTTGTGAGTTCTTTGCTTCCTCAATCTCCAACTTACTTCCCTAACACACCTCATTTTCAGTACCACAACTGTGAGTCTGTGAGTCAATAACAAACTAGCAAACCTTACATGAATAAAATATTTTTAGACGCTTCAAGGTCGAAAAAAAAATCACCTTTGAACTCTAGATATTTCATATTCAAATGTAACTTACAAAAAACCCCCCACTTAACTCTTAAATACTATAGACTTCTCCAGTAGTTGTATGCCAAAATCTACATCTCTTTGCCCCTTTCCTTCTAGACGTAATAATTTTAAAAAGAACAAGTATTATTTTTATTATGTTAGATTTGCTTTCTTAGAGGTTGCATTCATTTACATACTTGCTTACTTTAATGACTATGAGTAACAGATCATGGCCTAATGAAAACATCATTTGCACCAGACTCAATATCTATACACACAAGTTATTGTTATGTGCCTTCATGCTATGAATAATGGATCTGAGCCTTGCGCTATATTGTGTCATAGTCAAATTTTCTGATATACTTGAGTCCATTGATGCAGTCGTCACTCACTGTGTCAATCAAATTAGTTCCAGGTCTTATTCTGTTTTGTTCATCCTCCATATTTCCAAAGTATTATTTCTTTGGCCTTTCCTAGCATGCCTAGAGTATGCCTAGTGAGACAAAATTTCCTCATCCTTGCCGCTAAGCAGAACTCTGATTGTACTTTCTCCAATACATATGTATTTGGGTTTTGGTTTTTGTTTTAAAGTCTATGTGATATTTAGGGAGCTTGGTAGCCTAGTGGCAAGAATCTGTGCTGCAATCCAAAAGACACATAGTTTGAGGCCACTGGCTGCTGCACTGGAGAAGAACAGGCAATGTCCTCCCATGAGTTCAACAGCCTCTGAAAACTCACTGGAGGGTTAGCTGTGGGTTGGTTCCAATTCTGTGGCACACAACAGCTACCTGTGCTATTTAGCATTCTTCTTCAACCAACCCAAAGGCATCAATACTTCCGTCATCCCTAGTCACTGTTTAGCTTTCAGACGTATAGGAAGTAACTGAAAAGACCGTGGCTTGAGTCAGGTCCACCATTTCTTTAAACTCACACTGTTGCTCTCCAGCATTTTGGAGAGGCCCTTGACAACTGATCTCCCCAATATAACAAATCTGATTTCTTTACTAATGGTACCAATAGTGTTGATTGTGGATCGAGTAAGATAAAGTCATTGGCTACTTCAATTTTTTCTTCATTTGTCATGATATCGCCTATTGGTCCAGTAGTCAGGATTTTTGTTGACTTGATGTTGACATGTAAACCCTATTGAAGACTACAGCTTTTGATCTCCTACAGCAAGTATGTCAAATCCTGCTCACTTTCACCAGCAAAAGTTGTATCATTTGCATAATGCAAGTTTTTTATAAGTCTTCCAATTCTGACTCCACATTCTTCATATAGTTGAGCATCTTCAAAGATTTGTTCTTCATACCAAGTTAATAGGTATGGAGAAAGAATACAGACCTGACATACTCCTTTCTTAATGTTAAACTATGAAGTGATCTCTGGCTGTTAGAACAGCACCTTCTTGACAAAGATATAGACTTTATGTGAGCACAATTAAGTGTTCAGGATGTTTTGATACCTAATGATAAAAAGCTGTGCTGCCAGCCCAAAGATATGGTTCAAATCCACTAGCTTTTCTGCAGGAGAAATATTGGTAATCTCCTTTGCAATTTACTACCTTTGAAAACTTACTTGAGGCTCAGTGAGAATAGGTTGACCCAATGGTACACAACAACAACATAGAGAACCAGTGCATACATTGTATGTTTTATATCTTATGAGCAAACTTTTAGAAAGCGCTAGTGACCTATTGTTCATCTCTGAGATGCATAGCAAGTCATTGGAAAGTCTACTGTCTGAATCAGACACACCTTAGTCCTCAAAATGACGTCACTACTTCTCAGTAATTTGGAGAGGTCCCTAAGAGGAAGCCTTCCTACAGCAAAGTGTCTCCTTGTCTCCTGACTGCCAGGACCAGCGATGTTAATTGTGGATCTAAGCAAGATGAAGTTATTGTCAGTTTCAATCTCTTCTCCGTACATCATGATGTTGGCTAACAGAAGAAGAATTGATGCCTTTGACCTGTGGTGTCAGAGAAGAGCACTGAACATCCCATAGACTACCAAAAGAACAAATAAATATGTTTTGGAGAGAGTGCAGCTGGAGTGTTCTTTGAAGGCAAGAACGATGAGGCTTTGCCGCACACACTTTGGCCATGTTGCTAGGAGAAGCTATTCCTTTGAGGAGAACATCATTCTAGGAAGTGTAGGTAAAGGAGAGGAAGACCCTCGATCAGGTGGGTTGTCATGGTGACTGTAGCAATGGGTTCTTATGTGTCAGGAAGTGTGAGGATGGCACAGGATAGATCTTTTTGTTCATAGGGTTGCTATGAGTTGTACTCGACTCAACGGCCTCTAACAACAACAAGTGAACTACTGGGTTCTTTCACTATTCAATATTTTGGTTTTTTCAATCTCTGAATGTAAATAAGGTACTTTTGGAAATAGGCTTTACTCACTTTGTCTCTTAGATGACATAGAATTTAACTTACTTTAACAGGTTCAATTACCAGAAAATGGCCCCACGGGGCACTTGATCGAACACCAAGAGCAAGATCTCATTAAGAAGTAATCCTTTGTGGACTTTTCCCAAGGGATATAAGAGAGATTTGTGGATATAAGCATGATGTGTGATTCAGAGTCTCAATATTTTATAGATTCTACACATTTTGCCTTCGAAGTCATATAGTAATTCTAAGAGTGAGAGGCGTATTTTCCATTAGAGGTGGGTAGATAATACTTATCTCATTTCTGTATAGTTGATTTTAGAGATCTAAAATCTGTATCCTAAAATGAGCCATTTAAATTCATTTTTGTGGGCAGATATTGGATGTTACGTATACAAAAATAATAATGTCATGCTTAAACTAAAGTTTGTTTCAAAGCTTTGTAATAATTTTGGAAAATGAGTTGTTAAATATGATACAAGAAGAAATGTATACACTTAAGAGCATGTAAAAAAAGAGAAGGGAAAAGTCATTGCATACAATAAAATACAAGCTATTGCAGAAATTCTTTTTAATAGCTAATGGTTTTTTTAAAAAAGCTGAAAAAATGTATCAGGAATCTGAAAATAAATTTTACTGCATGCATTCATATATTTCTGTGAAATATCATGAAATAAAAATGAGAAGAAATGTTTTAACAGCTGTTGTTGTTGTTGCCTTCAAGTCGAGCACGACTCATAACAACCCTATGAACAAAAGGCTTGAAGCCTTTCTATAACAAATGACATTTAGCAAAGTTCATAGAGTTTCCAGAGGCCTGTTGTTTAGGAGGTGTATTTCATAACCACTGATGGATTTGAAACAGCAGAAAGGTGCCACATTTGAATTAGAAGTGTAAATCCCTATATATAAATCTCCCAAAGCCCCCAAAATATTACAAGTTGCTAGACTGCCACTTCATTTGCCCAGACTTGTACTCCCTAATGACTGTGAGAGAGTGCTAGCTAAGAATAAAATTATGATACATGAAAAACAAAGTTGACATGATCTCTAGTCATTTTTTTTTCCAAAATAAAGAGTTCTGATGGCATAGTGATGAGGTGCTGAGCTGCCATCTCAAAGGCGTGTAATTAGAAGCCATCAGCTGCCCCAGAAGAAAGATGGGAAATCTTGTCTGGCGCCATTTACTGCCTCTGCAAACCCCTGCAGGGTCAGCTATGAATTAGCTCTGACTCCACAGCATATAACATAACAGTAACAAACGTCCTCATTCGAGAAAAATCACAATCCAAAAAAGTGTCTCTACCATCTGATAGGAGGCAATTTCTTAAGATGTTGAACATAATTCTGTAAGGTTTATAACTTCATTTCCTTTTACTCCTTAATTAGATGCACTTCCAAATCTCTTTTACCTCTCCTGAAAATCTCACCCGGGTATCTGAGTTCATTCTCATAGGAGTCTCAAGTCAGCCAGAACTCCAGGTCCCCCTTTTCTTTGTCTTCCTACTGATCTATGCATTGACTGTGGCTGGGAACGTGGTCATCATCACCCTCACCAGTGTAGACTCTCGACTTCAAACCCCCATGTACTTTTTCCTCCGACACTTGGCTATCATCAATCTTAGCAATTCTACTGTCATTGCCCCTAAAATGCTGGTCAACTTCTTGGTTAAGAAGAAAACTATCTCATACTACTCCTGTGCAACTCAACTTGGTGGATTTTTAGTTTTCATTGTGGCAGAGATTTTCATGTTGGCCGCAATGGCCTACGACCGCTATGTGGCCATTTGCAATCCCTTGCTCTACATGGTGGTAGTATCTCGACAGACCTGCCTAACGCTAGTGTCCCTGGCATACATCTATGGCTTTTTTACAGCTATTTTGGTTCCATCTTGTGCATTCTCTATGTTTTATTGTTCTTCCAATGTTATCAATCATTTTTACTGTGACATTGTTCCCCTGTTAGCCTTGTCCTGCACTGACACTTACTTCCCAGAGACTGTAGTCTTTACTTCTGCAGCTACAAATTTGGCGATCTCGATGTTTGTAGTTCTCATATCCTATTTCAACATTATTCTGTCTATTCTCAGGATACGCTCAGCAGAAGGAAGGAAAAAGGCCTTTTCTACCTGTGCTTCACACATGATGGTGGTCACAGTGTTCTATGGGACACTATTATTCATGTATTTGCAGCCTAAAACTGACCATTCGTTAGATACTGATAAAATGGCTTCAGTATTTTATACACTAGTAATTCCTATGCTGAATCCTATGATATACAGCTTGAGGAACAAAGATGTGATAGCTGCTTTCAAGAGACTTCTGTCAAACTCATGCTATTTTAAAGCAAAGTAAATTTATGCTATAACACCAAATGATAAGATGGTTAATGTAGGTTGTTAGTTCTTCATGTAACAAGCATTTTCATGTAAGACAAATAATAAAGCATGTAGTCATTGTCCTCTGATTTCTTTACATATATATAGTAATATATATATATATATATATATATATATATATATATAGTATTTCATCCATATTTTAGCATGTATTTGAAATTGGCTTCTTGCTAATTTTAAGACATCTTATACTAATCCATTTAATGTTTGATTGACATTTGGATAAATAAAAATTTTTGCAATTAGAAATAATACTTCCAAGAATTTTTGAGTAGTAATCTCATGCAAATAGATAGTATTCAAGCTGGATTCAGTAGAGGTCATGGTTTGAGTGATACCATTACGGAGCTCAGATGTTCTTGGCTGAAAGCAGAAAAATATAAGAGGATGTTTGCATTTTATTGATTACGCAAAGACATCTGATTGTGGATTGTGTGTGTTTCAAATCAAATTGTAGATAACACACGTCTCAGATCACTTTATTGTGCTTAGATATTTTGCTTTATTCTACATAGATGAAGAAGCAGTTATCTAAAAGAACATGAGAACACTATATCATTTACAGTCAGAAAAGATGTATAAAGGTTATTCACAGCTACTTTAATCTGTTGCTGAGGAAATAATGTAGCTCAACATTAAGGAAACAAAGAAAACCATTGAGCCAGTTGGCAGTATCATGATGGATAGTGAAGAGATTGAGATTGTTAACAGTTTGCTTGACTCTTGGTACCAGCAGCCAGGAAATGAAAAGATGAATTGCATTGGGAAGTCTGCTGTCAGAGACCTTTCCAAACTACTGAACAGCAACAGTGTCAGTCTGGAGACTAAAGTGTGCCTGATTACTTGCTATGCATCAGAGAAACCTGGATAATGACTAGGATGATAGAAGAAGAATTGATGCCTTTGAGCTGCTGTGTATTGCATATGCCATAGACTGCTAGGAGAACAAACAGGTTCATTCTAGAGAGGGTGGAACCAGGCTGCTCCTTGGAAGCAAGGATCCTGAAGCTTCATACTTAGGAGTATTACAAGGAGGGACCTGTCCTTGGGAGGGTGCAAGGACAGCACAAAAGAAGAAGACCCTCGATGAGATGGATTGATTCAATGTCTGAGGTAAAGAGGGTAGATTGGCACAGAATAGAGGTAGGTTTAGGGCTGTTGTCTATAGGGTCACTGTGAGTTGCAGGTGACCCGAGGGCACATAACAACAACAGACTATAAGAAGAATGTAGCTCAGGATTGTAGACAGACTCTGAACAACCTGTACTATTCTGATGACACAACTTTGCTTTCAGAAAGTAAAAAATAAACAAACAAAAACACCTTGAAGCATTTAGTGCTACAGAAAATCAACAACACTAATGTCACTATGGATTACCTATCAGCATCAAGTAAACAAAACCTTCACTGCTGGACCAAGAGGAAACATCATGGTGGTGTTGCTGATAGGTGCCGTTGAGTCAAGGATGAACCATAGTGACTCTACCTACAATAGCTTTGAACTCTGTCTATCCTGTGCCATCCTCACAATTACTGACACACTTGAGGCCATTACAGCACTCACTATGCCAATCCTCCTGGTTGAGGATCTTCTTTCCTTTCACCCACCCTCAACCTATCCAAGTATGATGTCCCTCTGCACGGAATAGCCTTTTCTCTAGCAACATACCCAAAGAATGTGAGGCAGAGCTTTGACATCTTTGCCTTCATCATGACAGATGAAAAGACTGAAGTGGTCAATGATTTCATTTTACTTTAATCCACAATTAATATTCATAGTCCAAGAGTCAAGAAATCAAAAGAGCTTTTGCATTGGGGATATATGCTATCTAGGACCTTTCCAAAATTCTGAAGAGCAAGAATATCAAGTTTAAGTTAAGTTACTGCTATTTTCAATTGCTTTGTATGCATCTGAAATTTGGACAGTAAGTAAAGACAACAAAGAAGAATTTATACCTTCGAATTGTAGCATTGATGAAGAATATTGAAAACACGGTGGTATGAATACACAGAGATATTGAAACTTCATCTCAGTTTAGTTATATTACCAGGAGAAACAAATCCTTGGAGACAGGAATGCTAGGAAAGGTAGAAGGTCAGGGAAAGAGAGGAAAACCCTCAAGGAGATGAATTGGCATAATGCTTACAACAATGGGCTTGAGTATAACTGAAATCAAGGGTCAGATCTGTTGTTAAGAGGACTGATATGTGTCTTTTTTAATCCAATAACTGCTTCGTGAGAGGAAGGTGGACAATCTATTCCTGAAAATCCACTGACGGGTCAGCTCTGAGTCAGTTTCTACTCAATGGCATAAAACAACAACGAGTCACAGTCAATTTGATGACACCTAACAATAGCAACAACGTATTATTATATGTATTTTCCTTGATTTTTACATTTTATGCTAAATATATTTAAAATCATCAAGATTATCCCATCTTTGTTGTTGTTGTTGATTGCCTTCGAGTCGAGCATGACTCATAGTGACCCTACAAACAAAAGGCCTGAAGCCCCTCTGCAACTATTCACATTTATCAGTTTATAGAGTTTCCGGCATGTCATTTAGGAAGTGGATGCCATCTTACATACAATTTCCTGGTCTTGTAATTTGGTTTTATGAAAGTCATGTATGTGGCCAAATACTTGTATCGTGATTTTAAATTGAGTTTTCCTGTAAGCTAATGATTTGGCGCATTATTTGTTAGTCATTTAGATCTCTTCTTTAGTAAATTATTCAATAACTTTACTAATTTTCAAATTGTTTTGATTCTCTTTTTACAGTTGACAAGTATTCTCTCTCTCTCTCTCTCTATATATATATAT